CGCCGGAGTTTCCACAGCTTTCTGAGCAGCTCAGATCTAGCACGGAGAGAGGCAAAGTTTTCACCTTCAGGGATTTTTCTCATTACTCATTAATAGAGAGATATGCATCTTGCTTTTTTTTTTTTTTTTTTTTTTTTTTTTTTTTTTTTTTTTTTGCGTGGGGCAATTATGGTTTTGTTTAAGCAAGAAGTATTTTGGGAGGAGTGATGGCGGGGGGGGCGGGGGGCAGCGACGTTCCCCTGTTTCCTCGGGTCTGCTTCTGGAGCACTCTGTGGGAAGGTGATCCTGAGCCGCTTCAGTAGAGGTCACTTGTGTGTTCGTGTGTGTGTGTCCCTGGTGTTTGTGTCTAGCATATGCATGTGGTTTTGCTGACTGCACTTGCAGGCTTGTAAATTTTCACCATGGGAAATTACCAACAAAGCCCAATCTGTCTCCTGGCTGCTTTGCACTTTCCGAGGGCGGCTGTACTTGAGCGAGCTGCAGAACGAGAGAGAAAGCGAGAGGAGAGAGAGAGGGAGAGAGAGAAGAAAGGGGAGTTGGGAGGGGGGAGGGGGAGAGGCAGGGTGGGTGGGTGGGTGGAGGGGGAGAGAGGTAAATAGCCTTAAATCGGAAGGGAGCTGCTTCTCTGTGGTCTTCCACAAGAGCTGTCTGGGCTCTGCTGGCTCAGTAATAACTGAGTGACCTTTTCTTTTGCTGTATTATGTCTGGCTGGTAAGGGATTGCATTTTGCAGCTGATAAAGCCCTGACTTCATTCAACTCGGCTCCTCACACGCTGCTTTAGGTAAGTTGTCTTCAGCCAGGACGGAGACAGACAGCCTTGGACTGCAAGATACTAAAAGGAGGACACCTGTAGCTCGGATGCGGTCAACACAATTACTTGGCGGATCCTTGAGGACCTCATTATTTTAAACTTAAAGAATAGCGATCTCCCTCCCCATCTCTCCCACCCCCTCTTTATTTTTTTCCCCAAACAATGCTTCTTTTTGACCTTTTCCAAGGAGAAGAGCTACAAAGCAGCCACTGTGCTTATTGAACTGCCTCCCCTGTATCGCTTAATTGAGAAGGTAAGTGAGGCAACTGTGTACATAAGCTTTGGGTCATTTGTGTATGTGTGTCTGCATCACTCTCTCTCTCTCCCTCTCTCTCTGAGTCATAAGCCGGGGCTGCAATACACACACACACATCTCTGCACTGCAACTTTCACTCAAGCTGCAGCTCTGCTGAGACTGTTTTGTTTAAATCATGTGAGGCTTCATTATTTTTATGATGAGACATGAAATACATGCAAGCGGAGGATGCTGAGCGAAACCCATCCGACTGTATGTCTCGAGGAATAGCAGTCAAAGTTAACAATGAATTGCAGCCCCACCACCACCCCCCTCCCCGTTATTATTGTTATTATTATTCTTGCTTCTTCCAGAGCTTCTCGAAACGTGCTCTCAATTATCAAGGGAGTCGGTTAATTTCCCACTCCCCGGCTTTAATCCACAAGCCTCCCCGTACAGCAGTTTAATTTGCAACTGGTTCGGTGCAGGGTTAACCCTTTGGGCAGAGAGGAGGCAGGAGCGGGGCGGGGAGCCCCGGGGGGCGCGGAGCGGGCCGGGGGCGGTGGGCGGGTGGGACGCGCTCCGGCCGCGGGGTCCGTGCTCACGCATCCTCCGCTCCCGGACCGGCGGGGGGAAGGGCAGGCAGGGCTGGCGTTATGAAGCAGCGTTCTGTCTGCGGAGCATTCCTCTTTTTTTTTCCCCTCTTTCCCCCCCCCTCCCCGCTCTCCCTTCGCACCGAGCGCGATACGGTATGCGAACGCCGCATGTGACAGTTTAATCAAACCCATTTGTTACAACAAAGCTAAGAGACCGCTGGGATTATAGGCTTACGGGCAGAGTTAGGGGAGCATGTGGCTTTGTCGCTCGCCATCGCCGTGGGGCCGGCGGCTCCGGGTGTGGCCGTCCCGTCCGTCCCCCCCCCGCCCTATTCCCATTCCCATCCCCATCCCGCCGCCCCCGCCCCCGCTGCGGCGCGCCGCGCTCCCGCTCACTTGACCCGAGCCGAGGAAGCACTTGCTACTTTTGCCGGGATTTGGTGCTTCAATGAGAAGGAGCTCTCCAGGCGCCCGTAAATCAACTCATGCAGAAAAAGGAGAAAAGTTTTGGTAAGGCGGCGGTCCCCGGCGCTGGCGCGCAGCGAGCGCAGCGGGTGCGCTCCCGGGGGGAGGCGGGGGGTCCTCCTTCCCTTTCCATCCTCAATGCGCTGCCGTAGCGAGCGGCTGTGTCGGTGTGTGCTCTGAAGAGACGCAAAATACCTCTTCCTAGGACAGCTCCGTAGGACCGCTCTTTAAACCAATTCGTTTTGCTCGGTGCAACAAACATCGGGACGTGCTTTCCCCGACACCTCCCTCTCCCCATCCTTGTGATGCTCGGGAAGGAATTGGCATAAAAGGCTTGAGCGTCTAACTCCAAAAAGGGATTCTTTGTTGTGGAGTATATGTTTCTTATTTAT